ATAAAGAACATTTAATTATTTTACGAAATAAAAACAGCAAACCAAGTTCACAAAAACAAGAACATAAATATATACTTATCACTATAATACGTACAAATCATTAATCATTTCATTTAGCTCGTGAGTATAAAGAACATTAATAACTTCTAAAGTTCACAAAACAAGAAAATAAATACTTATATACCATTACGTACAATCATTTCATTCGAATTAATTTAGTCCGTAAGTATAAAGTTCACAAAACAAGAACATAAATACTTATTTGTCATTATGTAAAATAATTTCATTCGCATCAATTTAGTCTGTGAGTATAGAGAACATTTAAAAAAACGAAATAAAAAGTCAACCCAAGTTCACAAAACAAGAACATAAATACTTACCATTATGTACAAATAATTTCATTCGCATTAATCATTTCATTCAGCACGTGAGTATAAAGAACATCTAATAATTTTACGAAATAAAACAGTATAACAAGTTCACAAAACAAGAACATAGGTTAAATACTTCTTACCATTACGTACAAATCATTTCATTCGCATTAATCATTTCATTCAGCTTGTGAGTATAAAGAACATTTAATAATTTTACGAAATAAAAACAGCAAAAAAAGTTCACAAAACAAGAACATAAATACTTATTTACCATTACGTACAAATCATTTCATTTAGCATGTGAGTATAGAAATAAAAACAGCAAAACAAGTTCACAAGAACATAAATACTTATTTATCATCATTTCTTAATTTAGTGGGTGAGTATAAAAAAACATTAAAATTTTACGAAATAAAACAGTAAACAAGTTCACAAAACAAGTACAGAAATACTTATTTACCATTACGTACAAATCATTTCATTCAGCTTGTGAGTATAAAGAACATTTAATAATTTTACGAAATAAAAAAATACTTATTTACCACTACGTACAAATCATTTCATTCACATTAATTTAGTTAGTGAGTGTAAAGAACATTTGATAATTTTCGAAATAAAACAACAAAACAAATTCACAAAACAAGAACATAAATACTTATTTACCATTACGTACAAATCATTTACATTCGCATTATTTTAGTGTGTGAGTATAAAGAACATTTAATAATTTTACGAAATAAAAACAGCAAAACAAAGAATATAAATACCTATTACAATTACGTACAATCATTTCATTCTCATTAATTTAGTGGGTAGGTATAGGAACATTGGATTATTTTACGAAATAAACAAATTCACAAACCAAGAACATAAATACTTATTTACCATTACATATCATTAATTTAGTGGGTGAGTATAAAGGACATTTAATAATTTTACGAAATAAAAACACAGCAGAACAAGTTCACAAACTAAGAACATACTGTAAATACTTATTTACCATTACGCACAAATCATTTCATTTGCATTAATTTAGCCGGTAGGCATAAAATTATTTACAATCGATATAAAGTTTAAATTGCAGATGCGAAATAAAATATTAATATTATAGAGAACCTAAATATGGAAAATGTGCGCGTTGTAATGAAGATAACACTTATCCAGCATGGTGTCTATCATGCGACCCTGATATAACAACAAGGTGGACAATTGGAAATAAAGATGTTGATGATTGCATGAAAGAATTCCAACTTAGAGTCCGCGCATATGAAGAAGAGATTGAATGGATTCCATTTAATAGATTATATGATGTTAAAGAAATTGGTAGAGGAGGATTTGGTTCTGTATATTCAGCAACCTGGTTGGATGGCATACGAAAAGTTGAAAAAATTAAAGTTGATGATAACAACTATTTCTACAAAAGATCACGTGGATCAAATAGCATCGTTGCACTCAAGACATTTGACAGTTCTAAGGAAAACAATGATTTTTTAAAAGAAGTAAGTTAATTTATTACTTTGATAATTTATCTAATAGTTTTTATTGAACCAATTCATTGCTTAAACTTAAGTTTAAAGGTCTTATGGAGTGTAAATTAAAGTATTGTAAGCTCTCAATATATGGAATAACGCAAAACACAGAAACAAATGAATGGCTAATGGTATTTCAGTATGCTAACAATGGAAGTCTTCATAAATATTTGACAAATAATTTTAGTATGCTTACATGGCAGACTAAATTACAAATACTTAAAGATACTGCGAAAGAGTTAGAGAATATTCATGTTTATGCAGGGTACATCCATGCCAATTTTCATAGTGGTAACATTTTGCAAGGTAAACAATCTTATATCGCAGATCTAGGATTGTCTAGAAAAAAAGATGAAAGTGTATTAGAAGGAAATATTAATGGAGTTATGCCCTATGTTGCACCGTTTTATCAGGCAACAGCAATTTACACAAGCAGCAGATATTTATGGGTTTGGTATTATTATGGCAGAAATTTCAACTGGTCAAAGACCTTTTGATGGACGTAAATTTGATATTAAACTTGCATTAGATATTTGCAGTAGAGGATTACGACCGGAGGTTGCACCTGGAACTCCTAGATGCTATATTGAATTGGCTAAGAAATGCATGAATTCTAATCCACAAAAACGACCTAGTGCTCGGGATATTTATTGGAAAATTTTTGATTGGCTTAATAAGATAGCTAGTTCAAATGATAATGAAATTAAAAAGCAATTCTTGGATGCTGATAAAGTTATTAAATCATTGCCGATACCGAAGCATCCTGATGAAATGTACACTAGTAAAATTATTTGTACAAAATTAATTTCAAAGGCGATTAAAAGTATTTATTTTACCAATATATTCAAATTATGCTTTATTAATTTATTTAAAAATAATATTATTTGTTTATTTAGATTCGATTCAGTCTGATTCTGCTCAAATTAAGCTTGATATTACTGAAGTTTGAAAGCTTTGGAATGTATACCAATAATAATTTATTTTTTTTATCTATTGTAAACAGTAATAATTAAAACTGTATAATATCTTTTAAATACAGTGTACAATTTTAAAAATCTAAAATTATATGACTTGTTTTATATTAAAAACTATCTCAGTATCAATTTTTGTCTTTATCAATAAGCTCGTGATTGATAGCCAATCGGAGATGCAGAAGCGAACAGACAGCGCGCACGTGATATTGTCGATCTAAGCCTGTATTCTTCGCTATCCCCGAACAATTATTAAAAATTTAGATATTTAAATGTTAAATATTAGTTATACTGTAGTATTTTTTTACTACAGTATATATTTTAAAAATTAAAAAATAGAAAATAAAAATTTTACTAAATCTTACTGATAATGATAGTACCATTTTATTATAAACTTTTTATTTAGGGTTAGGGTTAGGTAGACTAGAGTTAGAAGAGTTATTATATATAAAATTTTGTACCGAAACTTTTATTTAGTGTCCAAAGATAGATTATTTTACGTAGTAAATATTTTTGTTATAAAGATTTTGATTTCTTTTAATTTTGTTGTTTTGCTATAATTTTAGTAGACAAAATTATACATTCTAATTGGCTAAATATACAGTATAAGTAATTTGTTTGTTTTGTTAATTCAAGCTTGATTTACATATACAAACTAGAAAACCAAATATTATTAGTATTTAAAACTAAAAAATATAGTACATATACTTTCGTTTATATTGACCTATTTGAATTGGTTTAAATTCATGTTAATAGTGATATTAACAAGAGATTAAAATTGCATATTTCGTATAATAACGTCTAGCTTTTTTAATAAATTTGATTTAAAGGTTCAACCCGTTGTTAAATTCCAATACGTTAAAGATAACAAAATGAAGAAATATTGATTTGTAAAGAAAAAATATCTGATTAGTGCATAGTATTAGTAATATCGGTGACTTGGAATAACAAATAATTTTGTTGGCCATGAAAGTTAAATACATTATTCACTTATTATTATTATTATTGTAAATGGTCGGGTACAAGATCCCCCTAGATAGTAGACCCACCAGGTAGTATACCAGGATGCAGATCACAGGATCTATATTAATTAAACCTGAGTTTTTTCAAATATCTGGACTACCTATTATAAATGCAAAACGTGCATGCTCTTCAATGTTTTCTTCTTAGTGACATGAGCCCTCAGCTGTATACTAGACCCGGGGTCTATTATACGTTTTAAAATTGGTGGAATGTAAGAGACCCGGGTATTGTATCCGGCCATTTACGGTAATTTATAGCCCTAGGCACTATGTCTCATGTCCTTGCAAACTTGATGCGGGAATTTTTCAATGACGCTAATGGTCTATTGGCCTATTGGCGTTAATGGCGAAAGTAGTAAAATAAAAAAAGCATCTCTGATCCGATTGACCCGAGTCACTCTTTTCTGATCCGCTTACAATGAGTCATTGTAAGAGATGTAATAATCACCAATCAAATCGCATTTGTAATTATAAAAAAAAATTTTTTTTCAAAAATTAATTATGAATGCCGTAAAGGGAAAAACCTGAGTTTTGAATTCCATATTCAGAATTCATTATAAAGGGTTCATTACATAAACATTGTATTTGGCGCCTTAAATAAAATTGAGTGTATTGAATTTCCTTTTTAGGAGCTTGCACTTACTCGTGAAAAAAAGTCTACTCGGCCTGATTAGGAATCCTGCCACCAAATTATAATTCTAGAATTCGATTGATCACAATTTTTTTAATACAATTAAATGCATTAAATTTTAAGGTTCAAAAATTTTCTATAGAAGGTTAAAAAAACACCAATAGATAGAATACTCTATTCAGTATTTTATTATATTACAATATATTGTTGAAAACAGGAAACAAATAAATTTTATAAACAACTAAATTAAGTAAAACATTTCTGAAAAGGATTGATATGTTTTTTATTTTCGTAAACTATACGTATCAGATATATGTACATTAAAATATATGTGCTAAATGATACAGAAATTTTTGAAATCTATATTTGAAAATGTCCAAAAAAAAATTAACGAAATAATAGCCTTGATAGACGTAATATCACATGACCAAAAAATTATCGAGCATCATGATAATGCATCTTTATAATGTCCTTTATTCAATAATGATATATTCTGTATCAATACTGGATAGACTGATCTCACTCAGATTTCGTAATTTAATAGGATGTTTTTGAATTTGATTTTTCTTGAAATGAATAATGTCTCTAATTATTTTATGTGTGATAGGTTCTTGAGGATAAAAGAAACATGGAGAACATTCGAATCGGAGGGGTGTGATCCATCGTTCACCACTTCGAGTTCTTCTTACTAATGGTGGTGGAGAATCACTTATAGAATAAGTGAAAGTATATCGAGATTTTAAATGAGTTGAACCACGACCTATTCGGTATACGAATGATGATTTTTTTATGATAGAATTATTTAAATCTATAGGTAATGTACAAGATTTTTGTAAAAGGTTTTTATCATCAGATTTTGCATCGTTATCAAATCCAGTAAATTGGATTCTTCGTAACTTTGGACTTCCGACCACACGAGAATGAATAAATCTTATAGGTTTATCATTTTTTGGTATAAAAACGAATTTTCCAGTTTCTAAATCAAACCGTTCAAAAGTGAAATCTATGTTAAGTTTTCGACGAAATTCTTGGTCAAAGAATAAAGATAGCTCAAAATTTGAATCTTTAAATCTTTTTGCCAAACAAACTTGAGCAATTAATAGAAATCTATTACAGACATTACTTAGAGCAAGAATGGAAGGGATATCCAAACTTTCAAATAATAATAATAAGAGTTCATTTGGAAATGTTAGAAGAGACGATATATGTTCATCATGAATTGTAGGCTTGATAGTAGAATTGATGAAGGATGAATTGTTGTAAAATAGTTTAAACACCATTTGTAAGGTTTTTTTTTTTTTTTTGACGAGTAACTAAATAAAATATGAGTTAAAGGATCCAAATATAAATGCGGTTTATGAAAATTGATTTGATATTCTCAATCTATTTTATTGAAGAACGGTTTATTGTTCCCACTAGGTGTTTATATAACTTCGGTCATCAATGATGAATGTGTTCATTTAACATGATACTTTGATACTTTAGGCCTCAGAGTTACATATGATGTTCGTAATACTGTAACAGTAAATATTAAGTATATATGTACGTACGTCGTACGAACGATAATTGAGCAAAAATAGAACGTGTTACAAAGCCTTGCCCTTTAAAAAAGAAACAAATCTGTTACGTACCTTTAAATTTTGCGTTTCAAATAGCTACGTATTAATAAGCATATAGTAATAATGAATAATAATGAAGAGCATATAATAAGAATTAAAATAGAAGACATATATATTTATTTATTTATTTATTTATTTATTTATTTTTATTTTTATATATTGTTATTTCAAAGATTTTCGTCTACTTTATGCATTAGCTAACGCCGTAACATATTAATGCATAGAGACGCCATCTACAATGACATAAGTTGTGCCAATGATGAGCAAAGAAAAACAATCTATTTCATTCATCTATAAATGACAAAAATGTTTCACAAATAGTAATATTGTCAATTTATACCGGAAAATTGAAAATCGACTGTTATAGATATATTTGTCTTACATTCTCTCTCCCCCACTAAAAAATATAGCCTTTTATGTACCGTATGTACGTGAGAACAAATATCGATATTACTAAAAGGGTAAGTAATGAATCGGTTTCATAACTCGGCCGGGTCATTTACTATTCGGGTGAATTTTTTTATAAAAAAATTTTTTTTATATATAAAATAAAATAAAAGCCGGGTTGGGTTGCCAGGTCACTTAAAAATTTTATGTTACAAATGAAAACCGATTTATGGCCTTAAGTAAATGCTACCATGAATTTATTGTAAAATTAATGACCGTCATACTGCAGTACTGCAGAAAACTAGAATATGGCCGGTATTACTTCTATCAAAAATCCCATCTTACAAATACGTATCAAATACGCATAATACATATTAAAAGTATAGCAAATAGCTGATAGTAATTACTAAAAAAAGGAATTACAAAAATTAAGTATTACGTACAAGTATTAGGTAATACTTTACTTATTACGTATTATATGCCTGGAAAATTATATTATTTGATTATCGGTCCCTTTCAGCGGTTTAAGCTTTTTTCAACAGTGTGATATTGTAATATCAGATATTTTTTTTACTAACCCAAATAAAGCTATATTAGGTTAAATATAGATATACTAATGAAAAGAATCTGAACCGCTGAAAGGGGCCATTAGAAAATCACGACATTTGTTTTTAAAGAAGTTACGTTTATGATGTATCAATAAATTATATTTTATTAATGTATTACGTGTAATTGATTTATGTTGTACCAAAAACATAATTAATACGCTTACGCGTTTGTTAGGTAACCCAATGATCATACGATATACAGTATATTACCAAAAAAAGATTTATGAAATCAAAGAGAATGTTGAATATAACGAGTAAATGCTAAGGAGTGCGTTATTTCTTGTTATTAGAACTCTTTCCTAGGTGATAAAATCAGCAGCCGATTTATAACAAATATACAGACATAATAGATTGTTGACCCTCCCTAAAAAATTACGTAGTAAACGTCACTCTCCTAACAAAAATAAACTATTGTTCTAAAAAACTATTGTCTGATGTAGGTTTATATAAAATTTATTAAATAAGTATTTACCATTTTGTTCTACTACGTAGTCCTATACTCTTTGTATATAGCAAGAAATCATAAAAATATTATCATCAGAATGGTTATGCATATGTTCATATCTGATATGTATGTACGTACGTACGCACAAACGTGTCACCCACACGAAATTTCTGACTTCTTATTTTACAAGCATGATCGATCCATTTATAAATTTTGGTTTATTATTATTGTCTGGAACGTAGCAGATTTAATTGCAGTCAAAGTGATGTAGAATATACCCGTTTTTAATTGAAATGTGGCAGATTAAAATGAAATCAGATTTTTTTAGGATTAGTGTTAGGGTTTATGGTAGAATTTATAATAAACAAGTATAAGTGAGTTTTGGGGTCAAATAGAAATCCCTCATTTTATTTAATCCGATTTCAATATTAATTAATAATGAAAATTTGAAAACGTCTGTCCGTTTCTGTCAAAAGTTACGTTTTTGACTCGCTTTATTGGGTACTGGTACTCCTGTGTAACAAAAGCGCAAACTCTGACAAACGATAACGATAATACTATAAGATTTCAGAATTTAGAACAAAGTACGTGCCCTACAAATTGTATTACATTCACCATCTCACCAAGTTTTACAGATCAGGTGGTCTGAATAAACAATAAGAAGTACAAAGATTATCCTAACTAAAAAAAAAAATTTCATCCATGAAAGTATAAAACCATATGGAAATTTGAATTCGTAATTACTCATTCTTGCGATGATTTTGATTATGAATTCTTTAGATTGAAATACAATTTTAAATCAGTTGTCTTCACGAACGCGTTCAACTTTGTGAAACGGAACACAATGAAATCACTCGAACAAATTCAGTATCGGTACGTACGTACTGTACGTATGTAAAACAGTAAATAATTTAGTGCTTAAAGTGCCTGTATCTCTAGATTAGGATTATTTGATATACCTTACAGTAAGTAAACTATTACGTATGATATTTGAAACTAAAAATTCATTATTTATGCATGTATTATAAAAGTTTATCCAATTTCTTTATGTTGTATTGAGACGATATCCAATGAAGTATAATGTTTTGGCGTATATGATTGGAATTTTACATTTTCCTTACGTATGTACGTACAGCTTCAGTTCAGTTAAGATACAAATGAACTTGCCTTTCCTTTGTTCTAAAGCTTTTTTTTGTTTAGTATGTATGGTGCAAATCGTTTAAAGAATCCAAAATTGCGCTCCTCAATGAATATTCGAAATTTCGCAAAAGTAGATCCATTGACTTATTGGACCTGCAAAATAATGCATTTCTTTTGAGAAATCACACATTTCGGTCGAGAAGATACAAGAATGATTTAAGCGGCGCATATTTGATGCGATTAGATGATTTACACCTTTTTTGTTCAGTATGTATATCGGTATGGTGCAAATCATTTATAGACCTAAAATTGGACTCCTCAATGATTCGGAATTTCAAATCCATTGCCTTGTAGTCTTGGATAAGACCTATAAAGTAATTTATCCGACAAACTCATATGATCATGAAAAACTTTTTTTCTGTTATTTTTTTTCATGTGTTACGATGTAATTATGTTTTTCCAATATTCAAAAAAAGGATGGATCAGTCCGTCCCGGTCGGTCCCAGTCCCTATTGGACCGATCTTATAATGGTTTTTGGTCCGGTCAGTCCGTCTTTCGGTCCCAGAATTGGTCTCACGACTTATGCATAATATTAAAGTTTTTATTTATTAATTTATTAATTAACGGTCAAATTTTTATTTATTAGGGCCAAATTTTTATTCATTAGCAGCAAATTATTATAAATTTATTTCATAAAAATACAGTACACATAAATATGGTGTTACAAGTGGACTATAGCCTTCTTTGAAATATAGTACTTGCAACACAGCACATGGTGACAGGGATCTTTAAAATAACAGGGTGAGATATAAAGCAGTGTGGAAGTGGAATATTGCTTCACTAGGGTGATTCAGTATAGTTTATTTAAGAGCAAAGTTATATAGGAATGTGTCAATTAAAATAAGACTTATGATATTTTTTACAAAAATGAGTTAACTATACTATCATATAAAGTAGATATTCTTCTATATAATTTGACATTTAAAGCATTAATTTACATAATAAAATTTTTGCCAATGTCTACTTTTTGAAAATGCTATATATAATTAAACATGATCTAAAATTAGAATTTGAATATCTAATTGTCGCTCTTTGCTACAGAGTCATAGAAAAGTATTTATGTCAATAGAAAAGGAACAAATTGTTTTTAGTGAAATTTTTTTAATTTTTAAATTAAAATATCTTAACAATTATTTAATCAAATTTACTAAAAATTTTTTTTATTTTAATCTTGAAATTATATAGAATTAAAATAAAAAAGTTTTTATTAAATTTGATAAGATAATTTTCAAAATATTTAAGCTTAAAGTTAAGAAAACTTTTATCTAGAAAAATTTGTCTCTTTTTTATTGACTCACTCCATATGTTGACCCAACAGGTTATACTAATAATAGATTATCATTGTTATTGTTATACTAAATTTTAAATGTAATTTTCTCAATATAAAAAAAAAAGCCATAAGTCTTGTCTTAATTAACACAGCCTTATATGTTTATTAAAATATATTTATCTACAGTACAATACTAAATATAAGGCTATCTATAAGTATTTATGCTTAAAGAATTTTAATAACTAAAAATTGCCAAGGAAAGGAAAAAACTAGGGTTTATATAGTTTTTTTAACATATACCAAAAAAATATAAATCTATAAAAAATAATATAAAATTATAAAAAACTATAAAAAACTATATAAAACTATAAAAACAATAAAAAACTATAAAAAATTATAAAAAAAACAATAAAAAACTATAAGAAATAATAATAAACTATAATAAATAATGAGAAACTATAATAAATAGTATAAAGAATATAAAAGATATAAGGCCAGAGCAATTTGATTCTCTGTTTATCATAACCTCCCCTCTATTTTTTAAAATTTTGTATGTAAAAAAAACACAATTTTGACCAATCAAATTGCAGTATTAACTTTTTGTATTTTTACATTTTTTACAGCCAATAGAATTGCTGTATTTTTTTATTTTTGTTTTTTTTTTAATGCCCTCACCTCCACTCTCATAAGCGACTTTTATGTTATGTTAAACAGAAAATTAAATTGGAGTAGCCTAATAGATATTATAAT